GGGGGGGTTACAACTTAAAACAACATAAGATTGCATTAATTTGACCTCTTTCTAGTTAAAGAAAAGTGGGGCATACGATGATGCGTCATTGATCACATGACTGCAGTGTTTACTGTGCTAAATCAACCAAACCCTCCATCTTTCAAAGCCCGCCCTTATTCCTCCTGGTGATTGGTCAGATGGCTTCAACAGACGATGCCATTGGACATTTACTTCTATCAGTCACGTGGCTCTCAAGCTCTTTGACTGCTCAGGGCTCAACGTTATGGGCTTAACTCATATCTAAAAAAAAGTAAGCAATTGTTTGCACTCTTCTGTTTTTAGTTTTTATAAACAGTGTAGAATGAGATTATTTTACCTAAACAAAAACTGTGTGCTGATGTCACGGTTATTTTTGCGTTTTAACTCGATTTATTAAGCGTAATGTTACAAAACCTTTGTGTAGGGAAGGACTATTGAACAGCTGTAAAAGTGTTTATGAGCTAAATTTACGGCTGTAGTTTTCCTATATTTGATTTGAGAATAATAAGAGAATAGATTTTAAACTCTAATCCCACGAAGTGTATTTTAAGTTGGGTTGTAAATTAAATAAAGTTTACTTTCGGTGAGCAATAACATTTGGGATTTGTTAGCTTTCTGCGTCGTTCAGTACGTTTTTTCTATTGTTTTATTTGGCTAAATATAATTAATTGACAGCTACTGGGATACATGTCAGGGTTAGAAATTATTTTACAGAATGTTTAATCTTTCAAGATAAGTTTTGTAATTTTCGCATTTTTTTTCAAATTCATAGGGAGAAGTGGCAGAATAAATTAAACCATAATTTATTAGGCAACTTACGGCATTATTCAGCATGTTGTGGCTTAATAATAATAATAATAAAAAAAAAAAACTATAGGAATTGTGGCCCAATTTCCTGCAGCTACATGTAATGATGCACACTTTGTATTTTTTGCTGCCCTTGTGATGCTATTTTATTTATTGTAAAGTCTTGAGTCTAACATTAAATGCTAAGGGTGTCATTATGCTGCTATTTTAAAGCTTAATACCAAACTCTGAATATTGGTTGTCAGTAAACTGAGGTAGGCATGACCTTACCACCATGATGGGTGAAATGAATGATATTGATTAGCTGGGACAGTTGAAATGGTAGAAGCAGGTAATGGATATTGACAAAAAGGAATAGCTATTGTTCAAAGTTCCCAGTCTGTGTCACTATCTGTCAGATGTGTTTATGGATAAAGGAGTTATATCTGGTTCCAACAGACAAATAGCTTAAATATCTCTAGATGTTACAGCTGGTTCTGGTTTTGATAGCCGTTGAATAAACAGTGGATCATGGTTTGTAACACATGGGACGGCATAGCCTCAGTCCAATCTGAAAGCTCATGCTGACCCACCCTTCCATTCCTGAAGGAAGGAACTGGAGGAGAGGCAAAAGATAGCAGAAATGTATTTATTGAATGTAAAATGTTTACATTACATAGATATGCGTATGTGCTAAGGGTTGACCAAGTCCTTTGCTTCGATCTTGTCTATGAGGAGCTGCAGATTGCTCTACTGCCAACTGCTAGAAATAACAGAATCTTTTGACTTCTCTTAAACATGCCTTACTCGTTTAACACAATATTTAGTTAACAACTCCAGCATAACACTTGTTTTCAATAGTACTGCCTATGATTGTTTGTGGCGACTCTTATCGGTATAGGTAGGTTTAGAAACGTTTACAGAAAACTGAGCAAACGTCAGTACGCTTTCTACTGAACCAACTTTTATGGTTGCCGTGAGCTGGGTGATTGAGAATTTACATGGGTACAAGGAAGTTCACATTCTCCACTTCCATAAGAAGTTAAACTGTCAACCAGATTTCTGTCTTGTTCTGTAATCTACATTATTTCCCTCACCCGATTTCCGCCCACCTTTAAAAGAAAGTAAAGATAAGGGAATACCCCAGTTATCACAGAGCAGAGTCGTACAACCATGCTCAGTCACTCACACCTAAGGGCAATTGAAAGATGTCACTTACCCTGCTGTGGGAGGAAGTTGGATTATCATTAGAGATCATGCAAACTCCATTAAAAAAAAAGACCAGGGACAAAAACTAGAAGATTCTAAAATAATAAAAATTGTTTTGCATTTAAACTTATAACTATTAGGCATTATCTGTACATTAGTTCTGTCTGGATTTCCCGAGAATGTTTTCTTTCTATGTGCTTATCTTCTTACATGTCTTTTAATTCATCTTCTGTCCATGCAAGACTATGCTGGAAGTATTTGTGACAATATTTTATTTCACACTGATTACGATTCTTTGACTCAGCTGATTGTATGTGACCCAGCTACTCCTATTTGCCAGGGAGCAGGAAGAGCGGCCATGGCAGTCGGGGAGAGCCAGCTCCAAAGGATTATCCGAGATCTGCATGGTATGTCAGCCTTATTTCTAGATAGGTCTGTTATTGTATACATGTGTGAGTGCTACATTATGAACTACATGTGGTTAAGACCGAATAAATGAATTTAAGAACAGCTAAAGGAGTGATTTTTAAAATTTAATCTTTCGTTCTGCAACTATAAACTTACAAGCATGTTCAATATTTAGAAAGAAAACCATCAAAGGTGATATTTGTATTGTAAACATTAATGTAGCCTCTATCAGGAGCTGGAACGAGTGTGTGAAGATGCACCGTTTAAGGGTCTCTGCTGTTTTTGAGGTGGTTTATTAAATGCATAAACTGTTCCTCTAAGTCCATCTTCTTCTCTTCTGATATGGCTGTATGTGAACTTTAGATGCTGTTGCAGAGCTCGCAAAAGAGTACAAGGAAAGTGGGGAGCCAATCACAGATGACAGCACCAGTCTGCACAAATTCTCCTATAAACTGGAGTATCTGCTACAGGTGGCTTTTACATTTACTGCTATTTCAGCCTTTAAATATGTTGGTCAATAGAAATTGCATCATTTATTTATTAGAAGCAAATGAGTGTTAGCCTTTTCTCGGCTTCTTGTGAAAAAGTATATCTTGAGTATTTTTTTTTCATTTTAATCCTTTCAGTTTGACCAAAAGGAGAAAACCACTTTTCTGGGCACTAAGAAAGACTACTGGGATTACTTCACTGATTGTTTGGCAAAGATCAAAGGAGCCAATGATGGCATTCGTTTTGTGAAATCCATTTCTGAGGTGTGTCTGCTGTTTGTAATGTCACTATCATTATGAAACCCATTACACAATAATACTTTTTAAGATTACCATCCATGTAGCTTCGGGTTCATTGCATTTTAAATTCTGTACTAAAATGCTCATATTTCTTTGGTATTTCATGTTGCTAACAGAAACACCATCTCTTTTTGATTCTGTAGCTGAAGACGTCTTTAGGAAAAGGACGAGCTTTTATCCGCTACTCCCTGGTTCATCAGCGATTGGCTGACACGCTGCAGCAGTGCCTGATGAACAAGAGAGTCACCAGGTATAACAGCCAGTGCATTTCCAGTTTTTTCTATGAATATGGATATAGCTGTGGTTTAACACCACATGTGCATTAGGGCTGAAATATTCAATTGAATTAATCACGATCAACTCGATATTGAAATGTTCAACATTTAATGAGGTTTAGAGGATTCAGAGGCTGAAACAGACCAATTGCTGAAAGAACTGCTGCTGAAAAAAATCTGCACAGAGTAGGAATTAAATCAAAAATATAGAAAAATATTTATAAATTTTGCTTTTTGAAATAAAAGCCTGCCTATTTTAGTAAGTATGGTGTATCACAAATTCCTCAAGTGGCATAGTTTTAGCTTCAGTGGGTTTAAGTCCTGTAAAATCTCCTATAGAAAAACCTTTGCAATGCAAATTATTAATTTATTAATCAAAAAGCAACAGATTTATCAATTAGCAATATTATGGTTAGTTGCAGCTCTAATGTACATTAATGTACATCTCTTTTATTCTGTCTGCATCTGACAAAATGTTAAAAAATTAAAACAAAAAAGCATTTTTTTTCTAAGTTGAAATTCTCACAAAGTGAATTAACTGTGTCTTTTTTTAACGCAAAACAAGGTCGGTGTTCATTTGCTTTTTTCTTCCGTGTGTTTCGGTTTGCTTCTTCCCTTTGCTGGATTATGTTACTTATTTACAGAAGTATCCGTCTCAGAAAAAAAAACAAAAAAAAACCATAATAGTACCACTACAGTAATTGTTAAAGAAAGTTTGTATTTTTTCTTACCTTAGTTTAACAAGCAAAATGAGTATTGTTTTAAAAATCGAGTGTATTATACCGACTTGGTTGCAGCATGCGGATGTACTAAGGTGAACAATGAGGTATCAGGACTGCGTTAAATTAACATGTAACAGGGGTACGGGTTTCTGAAATAAGACTGAGGTCATTATGGGAGTATCTAGGACACAGGTGTCAAACTAGTTCCAGAAAGGGCCGTGTGGCTGCTGGTTTTCTTTCCACCCAAGCAGTAGCACACCAGACTCCATTCATCTCATCAAGGTGTGTCTAGTCTAAACCTGATGACTTGATGGGATGAATGGAGTCTGGTGTGCTACTGCTTGGGTGGAAAGAAAACCAGCAGCCACACGTCCCTTTCTGGAACCACTTTGACACCCCTGATCAAGGATTTCAAACAATTCAATTTGACAATATTGCGTCAAGTCTTTTAGTTCTTCTTCTGCAGTTACCAGAGTAGAGATGTTAAACAGGTGTCTTCAATTGCCGGTGTCCCGCAGCTTTTAGATTAGTCTCTGCCTAAACCCACCTGATTCCAATATCAGCTCATTTGCAGAGCTCTGCAGAACTTGACTGCATGCTAGTGAAGCAGTTTAGTCATTTGATTTGTGTGCAGACTGGGCACACATGTTAAAGTAGCAGGACACAGGTCCTCATGGATTTGAGTTCTAGACCACTGAAATGCAATCTTTTCAGACCTACCCTTAACTTGGTAGGCAGATATACTTAGAATATTACAGTATTACTTTCTGGTGCAGTTCTAGACAAGCTACTTTTATTCAATTCAAAAATATGTTTTAATCCCAAAGGGAAATTAAGTGTTTACCGTAATAATTATTTTCATTGAATTTTTATTTGGAAATCAAGTCACATGACAATCTGGAGATTTACAGATAAAACAGTTTCCTTTAATGCTACTCCCTGACTTTTCTACTCTGCTTCTTCATTCAGTGACTGGTACTATGCAAGAAGTCCCTTTTTGAAGCCACACCTTAGTGCTGACATAATAAATCATCTGTACGAGCTCAACGAGGTGCAGTTTGATGTGGCTTCCAGAGGCCATGATCTTGATGCCTCCTGGCCAACATTTGCAAGGTAATAAAACAGGAAACTCTTAAATAGACATACTGATCACACAACATAAAATTTCTATGAACCACTGAGGTTTAACATAGCAGGATTTAGTAGTAGCAAATGCTTACATAATAATAGATCTGTTGGATGATGTCTCCTTAATAAAATGCTGCTTGTTTGCCATGTTTTGGAAAGATTAAACAGACTTGATTAGAGACCACCAAAAAATCATTGAGGTGGTTTCCGTAAAAAACTTCCTTATTTTCCGATCAACAGGAGGACACTAGGAAATGCTAGTTCACCTGGCCACATGTGGAAACCACCAAGTCGCAGTTCCAGTATCAATAGTCTGGCCAGTTCTTACTCTCAGGTAATGAACATTTTTCCATTTACTAACAATATTATTTGAAATCAGAAAGTAATAAGTATTACTTATCCTTTTTTTTCTTCTCCCCTTTAATCAAGCAGCAAGCGCCTGAGTGTGCCTCCAGCCCAGACTATGGGCATAGTTTATTGAATGATCTGAATGATTCCCTACCAGCCTGCATGGAAGATAGCAACACAGTTGAAGACCTTCGCTTGGAGCTCGATCAGTCTGAGCTAAAGCAAAGAGATCTCCTTGATAAGGTTCAGCAGCTTGGCGAGGAGTCTGCCGAGATGAAAGGAGTAATTGAAGAGCTTCAGAGTCAGCTCAATGTGTCGCTTGCCGCTCAAGAAGGGCACCTGCGCTTGCAGGAAGAACTCAGAGACTTGCAGGGGAGAGAAGTTGCTCTATCCCGCCAGGTGGAAGCTCTTAGAGCTGAGGAAAAGGCAAAGGAAACACAGCATGCCTCACTTCAGGAAAAGCTGGCTGCTGCCGAGCAAAAGAACATAGAGCTCATGGCCAAATTGGATGGGATTCTAGATGAGAAAGGCCAGCAGGCTGCCAGTTATTTTGATTCAGCGCAGAAGATTCACGAGTTGTTAGACAAGTTAAAGGAGGCAGAGAAAGGGAAGATGGAAGCTTTAGCTGAGATGGAGGAGAACAGGAGACGGGTAGAGAGGCTGCGAGAGGAGGCAAGAGTCAGTGAGGGGAAGTGGAAGGAGAATGAAACAAAGCTTGAGGCATTGCTGACTTCTTCTGAAGAGGACAAGGCCAAGTTGAAGGCAAAAGTGGAGGAACAGTCCAGTACTCTGGAAAAGCTTCAGGGGGACCTGGCGCTGAGAGAAACGGAGACGAGCAGTCTGCAGAAAGAGTTGGAGGACTTGAAAGGATCTCTAGAAAAGAAAGAACATGATTTAGAGGAGGTGAAGAGGAGGGCAAAGCAAGAAAAAGAAGAGATGCAGAAAATTTTAGATAATTCAAAGGAGTCTTTAGAAGCTAAAGTTAATGAACTTTCTCTGAAGCTTACAAACAAAGAAGCAGAGCTAAGCTCCAGCAGTGAGACACTACAAAAGCTAGAAACCAAGAACAAAATGCTGATTACAGAAAGGGACAAACTGACCGCTAGCCTAGATCAGTACCAGGCAAAGATCAGAGAACAGGATTCTTTGGTGGAGGACTACCAGAGGAAATGTGCCAGCTTACAGGAAATAAAAGAGAAGCTGGTGAGCAGAAATGAGGAGCTGGAAAAGGAGATGGCAGAGAACAGAATGGTGCTTGAGGCTGAACTGGTAGCTTTAAGAGCTTCTGAGAAACAGCTGCGAGGTCAGGTGGATGATGCCAAGATGACGGTGGATGAAAAAGAGAAATCTCTCCGAGAGGAGAACCGCAGTCTGGATGAGAGTCTGCAGCGGGCCACAATGGCTGCAAAACAATCAGAGAGTACAGCAAAGCGGCTGGAGCAGGAGAACCAGACTCTGAGGGACGAGCAGGACAACTTAAAGGCAACACTAACTCAGTTAGAGATGGACTTGAAAAATGCTCACGTTCAGATCAGAGAACTGGAAAAAAACTTGGCTGCTTTAAACACTAAAGAGGTCAGTCTTCAAGAACAACTCAATACAAAAGAAGAGCAGATGGAAAACAAAGATAAGGAAGTTGTTAAATTGATGTCAATGTTAAAAGAATTGGAGGCAAAGGAGAAAGAGACTGAGATAGCCAAAGCAAAGGCAGAAGCAACTTGTGTTAAACAGGCAGAACTGATAGAAAGGATAACATCAGAGAAGCAGACAATGGAGACGTTACAACTAGAGAGGAGCTCAGCCCAAGCAAAGGAGAGCCAGGAACTGATTGCTAAGGTAAATGTAGTTGAAAGCCAGTTGGAAGTTAGAACAAAGGATGTCTCCAGGCTCCAGGAAGAAATCCTGGACCTGAAAGTGCAAGTGCAGAGATCTGAGGAGGAAAAACTGAAATCTCAAGCACAGCTGGAGTTGACAGAGGCCCAAAGAGATGAGCTCAGGTCTCTTACTGAGCAGCTTAAGTCCCAAGCAGAGGGACTGAACCAGAGGCACATGGCAGAGCTCCTGGACTGTAAAAAGAAAGAAGAGGCATTGGTTCACCAGTGTGATCGAGAAGTAGCTGCCTATGCGGAGTTATCTAATTCTTCCGCTGCCATTCGGGAAGAGCTTGCTGCCATCAAAGCAGAAAACGGCAAGCTGGCCTCAGAGAACACAGAGATCCGTGAGGCTTTGCACAGAGCAAACACAGAGATGGCAGAGCTGGGGATGACCATCTGTAAGCTGAACGCAGAGAGGGAAGAAGCAAGCGAACACTTAACAGCTGATGCTGCTAGGATTGAAGAGTTGGAGAAAGAAGTGGAGCGGATTGAGAAGTGTGTGAACGACTTACGGCAGGAGAACAACCATTTACAGGAGGAGCTGACGCAGAAGGAGTCCCTGCCTGGGACTATTGAGGAGCTCCAAGAGGAGCTGGAAAAAGCCAAAAACCAAGTGCGCAGCGTTAAGGACTGCTGCCGAGAGGAGATGGATGCTGTCAAGTTCCAAATGAGCTCTGAGACCATGAACCATCAGGTTCAAATAAAGGTTAGTTTAAGAAGACATGCTTCAAGATTATTGGCTGGGTTCATGCTAAATGTACGGATTAATGATGTCCTAAAATTCCCTTAAAAAATAGGTTGAGATCTGCTAAAACCGAGTAGAGCTGCACTTTATCAAGTGACGTTTCAGGCACACATAACTATTCAGACCTCTTACTTTGACTAGATCAGTCATACTAGTCATGTTTATCACCTCCAGATATAAAATACTAAGAGCAAAATAAAAGCATAAATTAAATTATTTTTAAAATATCTGTATAATTTGTTTAATTAGATTACCATTTTATTATAGAAGCCAAAAACATCTAAACTTTGTATCAGAATATTACTTGTGCTTTTGGTGCTGAACAATGGTTTTCTTGCAACTCAAAAAGGATCCTTAATTCTCCTGCCTGAGCTTTGCATTGGTGCCGACTGCAAGGACATTGCCTAAACCTGCTAAGACAGTGGCAACCATATTCATTGGGTTGAGTTTTCCGCCCATAGTCCTCTCCAATTACCCACAATGATTTCAGCTCACCTGCTTAAACTCTGAAAGGTGTTTCACACTTGGATTGAAATTAAGCGGTTTTCCTTTTATAAACAATCTGCTCCTTTTAAGCTCTCGTTCAGATAGAAGTATAAGACGGTGCATGAGGAACTCTGGAAGCACAGCAGAGGGCTCCAACAGGTCTTGATAATAAAAATGTGTTTATTCATCTGTTGGTTGAAAGCCTGATGTTTTCTGACAGTTATGCTGGTCTAACATTTTTGTTTTGAAATTATGCAAATATGCATTTTCACACCTTGGATCCATGTGGGATCGTATGCTGACTCCAGCTAGCTGCGGTCCACCTACAGTATGAGTGACTTGCTGTTTAAATGTTTGCAGAAAGTTTGCATTCTTAGCACGTGAAGTGAGGTGTATCATGTTACAGATCAGGTGTGGCTATTTTGCGGAGTCCCTCCTCACGTGAAAACAATTGTGGAGTCACCATTGGAGCTGCTGTTCTTTGTTGCTCCTTCAAAAGAGACTTTTCTTTTGGGTTCTTCACTCCTTCATTATTTTCTTGCTTGCCCTAAGTAAATCTTTGCCAATATTAATCATGATAGACACCTGATAAATACCAATATAAAATTTCTGATAAAATTTTAAAGAATTTAGTTAATTCTCAGTACTTTATTCCAGAACCACAAAGCATTTTGGGGGATGTACACATAGGAAAGGATTTAACCTCAAGCTCTTACAGCCAAACTAAGCAAGGATAGCAGTAGGGTGTAGGGCATTACCTATTTTTAATGTTAAAATACAGGTAGGTTTACAATGGTAAATTATACACTAGTAATTATTTATATTGATATGAAATCCTTATTTTGTGATACATTTCTTTCATTTATTGCACAGCCCTTCAGTCTTGTCTCAGTAGATTTGCAGATGTGCCAAACTTTTTATTTTTTATGCAGAATTAATCATATCCGGATAACTTGGCTTTGTCATTTTTTTTTTAAAGCCAATTTTAGATTAAACAAATCCCAGCAAGGCTTATGAGCTTCTTATTCAGCCTGCTGTGCTTTGTGCTTAGTCCTCATTAGGTTTGGATTATAAGCATGGTAAATCGTTTTTAATTAATGATTTTTAAATTGTTAATTGTCCTGTTCCTGCCATATCATTTGAAGAAAGTAAGATTCATTGTTTAATCCTCTTTTCTTGTAATTTCACAGTAGTAGTTTGTTTAAATTAGGGAAATTAACTTATCTGCACTTTTTGTTTGTTTTGCTTTTTTGTTGTATCTTGTTTGAGTAAGGTATTAATTAAAACTGCTTCTACTTTTTTTTTCGAAATGCCTCAATAAGACTGTAACAATATGAAAACATCACTTTACAGATAAAATGTTGATACAGTTAAACTGTCAAAGTTTATAGGGGAATAGAAACAAACGTATAAACTTATTATTCTGCTTTATCTGTTTTTCCTTATGTCATTTTTGGAGGCTTGTCCTGTGATGCAAGTAAATGTTAACAATTGAAGTGTTTGTCTTGTTGTTTTGCAGGCTTTGACTGAAAATTTGGAGAAAGTTTCTGCACAGCTGGAGGAGGAGCAGAAAATAGTTTCCAGCTTGGAAGAGGAAGTGTCTGAACTCAAGGTTTCATATTTTTAAAAAGTGAAAATTAAGAACAGACTTAGTCATGGTTCCATCATTGAAGCAATATAAGAAGCAATGCTTTCCTGTTTCTAATCTGAGTGGAGCACTGAGATAATTAAAAGAAGCATTTCTTTGCGAAACTCTAATTTTTATGTTTTTTTCAAATGCTTATATTGATTGGTTTAGACACATAATGATAACAAACATAGATTCTAACAGCTCTGATTATTAGTTCATTAACAGGATTTTAATGACTTTAGGCAAGGTGGCAGAATGTTTAGGTGTTAATTTTGTTCACAGGTAATGAAGTCTTGATTACTGACGCACTTTGTCTTCACTTGATTGCAGAATGAAAGATGGATGCTTGATGTCTTTAGCTCTTATGTTATTGGCTCTCTCACATGGTTTAGATGATAATTCAATCTATTTTCATATAGTTTATCCAGCTTATACATTTATATTAGAGAGTTGAACTTTCAAAGAGGCTAAGAAGAAAAAAAAAACTTCTTTGGTTTATTCAGATGAGCTCAAAGGCCTCATGAATAAGAACAGGTGTCTGATTATTGTTTTCTTTTTATTTTCTGATATCTACAAAAGGCTGTGAATGAAAAATACTTGCAGCTGATTGGTGAGAAAGATGCTTACATCACGCAGGCGGAAGCCAGCATCCGTGAGAATGAAGACGAAATTCAGCAACTGAGAAGCTCTGTAACCAGGTGCGGCCATTACCCTGAATACGTTTTTAAATTCATGACTAACTGAATGAATAACTGATTTTCTTGCTACTCCAGTTCTGAAGAGGCACACTTGGCTGCTCAAACCATGTGCGAGGAACTCAAGCAGAAACTTGAAGCAACAGAGTCTGAGAAACAAAGTCAATATCTGAAGATGGGTGCAGAGATTGAGGACCTCAACAATACGAAGATTAACCTGGAGGAGAGGCTTATTGAGCTGATCAAGTAAGACCTTTGTCTTAAACCATCAAGGATGTTTTACTGTTTTTGACAAACTGCGAACGGTTCAGTATGGTCCTCTCGTTTTATTGATTTTTATAATGACTGCATCCTTTAATGATTTTGACAAAATTATTTTAGGTTAAGTGACTGCAAACATTATTTAGCCCTCTCCATTTCGTCCTATTAAATACGTTTTTTTATTAGATGCATAATTTCAAGGTAGGAAAAGAAGCAGAGTTGAAACAATTAACTGGATTAGTTGTGAATAATTAATTATTGAAATAATGAAATGATTCCAGACTGGAATGTACTGACTTAAAAACAAGACATTTGCTAAAAGAAAAAAAACTCAGAGCAGTAATTAAGTGAAAACTGTACAGAAAATATGCATTTAAGATTGTGGTGCTGAAGAGGCGGCAGAGGACAGGATTTGCTATGGAGACGTACGTATGTCTCCAAGTTGAACACCAGGAGACAGACTATTAAAGCATGCAGTGTTTGAACCTATAGGATAATTCAACAGCAGTAGCCATCATTTATCCTTGGGGCAACACTAAGATGGTTTTAAGAATAAAAATTTATAAACGTTTTTAATTAACTTTTAATTAACAATTACAAGTCCAAATGTTGAAAAAATGCACGGTAATATGAAAGTAACATCCTATAGATTAATTTTATTAATTCTAAATGGTAAAAAAAGGCAGATTTTGCAGTTGGCTGCACTGAGGCACACTACTGGGGTTTCATGGTTGATGCTGAACATTTATCTTTTAAAATTCAGTATGCTTTATATGACAGACAATAGATGCACTTCTTTATTTATGACCATTTGCTCTACAAAGTCTGAAAGTGATTAATTGATCGTGAATCATCCAAAAAAATGAGCTTTTGACAGGTTGATGTTAGTTGATGTTGAACCTTTTTTTTGTTTTTTGTTTTTTCTAGCTTCAAATCACTCTTTACTGCACATTTTAAAATTTACACAAATGTTATTGTAATATAAAATGTTTATTTTCTTGAAAAAATGATGTACTTGAAAGCCTGAATAGTTTTAAGAAATGACTACAGAATGTATTTTTTAAATAAATGATAAAATACTTAATAGCTTATCAACTGCAGCCTTAAAAAGAGATTTTTGATCATAATATTTTAAGCATTATTATTCAAGTTGTAAAATATGCCTTTGAAGCTATGAACTTCTTTTTCACCCCATTTTTAAAGCATCTTTAAATCTATGAAAATGCATCTGGCTGTTTTTTTTTTTTCTTTTTCTGAACTACCTAAGGGACAAAGATGCCCTGTGGCAGAAGTCTGATGCTTTGGAGTTTGAGCAGAAACTGCGAGCTGAGGAGCAGTGGTGGTTGGTGGATAAGGAGGCCACTCACTGTCTGGGCTGCAATGGTCAGTTCACCTGGTATCTGCGCAGGCATCACTGCAGGTAAATAGGCTTAACAGACACTTCCTGCCCTGGACACATCATTATTTTTGAGAGTTCATGGAATGCCTAATATGAAAACAAAATGTATTTTTTCTGCCCTTATTTCTAGAGTCTGTGGCCGCATCTTCTGCTATTACTGCAGTAACAACTTTGTCATGACAAAGCACAGCGGGAAGAAGGAGCGCTGCTGCAGCGACTGCTGCAAACAGCACAGTACAGTGGTGGAGAGGTTCACAGAGGCAGATGTGAGTCCTTCAGATACGCAGCCACCCCCAGCCGCTGTTGAACCCCAGCTTCCTCCGCAGCCGCCTCCATACAAGGAGTCTTCCGGAGGAACTGGTGAGAGATGTGTTTAAAAGAAAAATACCTCTCTGCTATTACTTATGAACCTCAAAACTTTGCAGTTCCTAAATAGTGTTAATGGTTTGTTCTTTGATAATTGGTTGTCAGCTGAAAAAGTTTGGAGCAGAAGTGAAAGGGCTCACTTTTTCACACAAAGAGGAATAGAGATTAAAACCTTTGCCAAATAAATTGAGCTTCATGCATGAACAGTGAATAAAATATTTGCTTTGCTTTTGTTTTCTACGTTTCAATGTCCAGTAAATAAAAGCGCTGTTTATTTTAATAAGGAACCAGTGACTTTCAACATGTCTAATTTTCAACAACAATGTGTCTGTTTAAATATAGTAAAGTAATACATAAAAAAAAAATAAAATAAAAAAAAATCTCAACCAAATAAAGTTCAGTTATGTTGGCTATAAACAGGAGTTTTCCGTAAGGGGCCCCATGAGGCTAAATGTTAAATTTCTCTTAAATTTCTTAAAATCTCACACAATCACAAATATTCACTTGGTTTACACATTTTGCATTAGTGTTAACCCCTTCGTGGTAGTTCTAGCCATTTTCTTTGAATTGGCACTGTACAAAAACAGGAAAAAAAGAATAAAAGCAAACAAAACAGAATGAAAACACTGTAACATTGTCAACTTAAAAAAAAAAACTTGTATTTCTGTACGAGCGAAAATATGCGATGCACCAATTAAAATTAAAATGGGAATTTAAATTGCATTTGCTGTGAAAAATCTCAAATCTTAATTATAGCTGAAAATATGATGGCTTTATACTGCTTAAATATCTTTTTTTTTTTTTTCTCTCCCTCTCTTTACCAGCTTTATGTGAAATATGCAATGTGTTGGCCCAAGCAATTCCAAAAACAAACAGTAAAAGCTAATTTATAATGAACTACCACAATGCTCTTGGATAAAGAAATGACACATTTAATGGTAATGGTATTTTAGAGAATTTAATGGTATATGTAAGAGTTTGATAGCACATGAGAGGGAGGTTAATAGTATGTGTAAAATACTTGTTAAATTCTTTATATATAGGGAAATATAAGCTTAAATATATACTAGTTTCTTAATAGATCATTACTAAACATCGACAAAAAAAAACTAAAAACGAAATGCTTAACTTTATGGTTCGGAAGATTTCCCAAATCAGTTCTCACCTAATAGGATTGAACCATTTTTTTGATAAGCATACACACTAAATTGATTTTTGTGCAAATTTGATCTTTCAAACTTTGAAAATAAACTGATAAATTGTGTGTTAATTGATTCTGATTTAAGGTAACCACAGCAACAGGGTTATTACATTAAATTCATGAATTGTCTCTAGTTTCTGAGCCCAGTAGCAGATCTGACGATGGAGGTTATGACATCATCACAGAAGAGGAGGTGAATGACGTCTACAACAGCGATAGTAACTCTCAGACCACCGGAGGCTCTCTGGAGGAAGATCAAGAGCGCCAGCATCCAGGAACACATGAAACGTGAGCATAATATTCCTATAAGAGGTTCACAACTCTTGGTTCAACTACTGCTTTTATGCCTATAATATGTGAGGGTGTTTCAGATATGCCACTACCCTGCTGGGTAACTCATCAAAAGAGATTTTTAGACAAAATTGTTAAGATTAAACTTTATTTCTTTCTTTTAGTCTTGTCTTCTGTAGCCTTGTCAGAAAGAAACAAATTGTTTGGTTCAATAAATTCATTCACTGCATTTGTTACTAGTTTTTAATTAGGATTGATGGATGCTTTGACATTCAGACAAGTTAGCAGACTGATTAAAAGGCAATTTATAATGAAAATCTCCCCACAGTATTCAAAGAGACAAAATAACATTTCAGAAGACTGTAGCGGATGAGTTGAGGGAGGAACACAGCTTAAAGTTCTGGTGATGGAGAGAAAGCAGGTTAGAGAGTGCAGGTTTATCGTTTATTTTGGCCTTGGTACTAATGGCTGTGCTTTCATCTCTCTTCACATAAGATGCACTCTTCCATTTAATTTTGTTTTGGTGTTTTATAACGATGCTCACCAGATTTGGTCACCGCCTTCTATTAGTTGACTTCCATTTCTCTGATTTTTGTTTATTTATATATAAATTGATGGATAGTTATAATTTTTTTTTTTGGGGGGGGGTATTATTATTTTAGCTTGGATACATTTTTGTATTCAAGTATGAGACTTTGAAACAAGCAATGTGGGGGTAGAGGGTTATCTTGTGACTCATGTTAGAAGATTAGCTCTGCCTTGAACAAAGCCGCAGAAGAACAGAGATTTTCAGGCACCGATATTAGCATCCATGGAAAGGGCAGCCAAGTGTTAAACTGTCTCTCTATCGCGGAGAAAGGTTTGTCAAGATAAGAATTCTGACTTATGGTGAAAACTAATAGAGTTTTGCACACTACAAACACTAAAAGTATAGTTAAGATTGAGGATTTTGACCAATCCTTTTTTTGTACAAAAATGTTAAGCTTATCGCTTCCTAAGAAGCCAAAAGAAAAGGATTTTTATGGCCTTATCTAAATTTGAATGTTTCTTTTAAGTCCCTGTCACAAAACTGAGAGAGGAAACCATTTTAGTGATCTATCTTATTCAGCAGCATCAAACATCCTCAGAGAGGGAGACATTTCAGAAATAAAGAGAAGGCCTTTATTGAGGAAGGAGTCAAAATCTTGTTGCACATCTTTTTGTGGATGTTTGCTTCTGGCAGCCATCTTTTTGTTCTTCCCCCTGGCACTGGTGTTGTGGATGGTCTCCATTATGGATAGAGACCGAACCGGGTTGGTAATGCATAGAGGAAGGCGCCAATTGGGTTCACTTCCATGTTGTATTTAAGAAGCTATTCTTTTCTATGCATCAGAGAGACTCTAAACGCTTCACAATCCACTCAGTCATGCCAGGTTCATTTATATAATCACTTAATTTAATGAAATACTGCATTCAATGCGTTAGTTCCACTCAATCAAAACTCATTTAGACTGATTTCAAAGCTGACTGGCTTTCTGAATTAAACAAAAAATAAACAGCCACAATGAAATGTTTTCCTCGATTTAATGTAAGGGAAACATCCACACCTGCTGTTTGCTGTTCAGACAGAAAAGTGGGTGATACCAACGCAACTAGACTGCATGTTTTAAGATCCCTGACTGTTACCTGCATGGATAAGTTTGACTTGATTAGATTTCTGATCCTGAAAGAAAGTTTGTGGAAGATATTGGCCTTCTTTATTGGACTGCCTACTCTAGTTTATTTGACTGACAGGTACAGGGTTATAGGAAACTGAGGTATTAAGCTCTAGTAAGAGTATGTGTGAAACTGACCGAATCAAAAGTACAAGGTGGGGGGGTTGTGTGACATGATCATATCACGCTGCAGCATATTGGTTCAGGTTTATACAGATTCTTGGTTTACCTTTGAAATTGGGCCCAGTTCTGACCCAGTGTGCCATTGGACAGAGCTGAGCAGCGCAGATAAAACATGCCTCAGTTGATTGGTTTTTCAATCTGTTTGTTTCTACCCGTTCCCGGTCAGATGAGATCCTGCAGCAGTAATCATCCAAGAACAAGGCTTTTAATTAGTGTTATCAACACGCATCCCCTGTTTTATCAGGCTGAATCAAATCAAGCGGATTGTTATATATTTCTACTCGCTGCCGTTTGCTCTGCTGTTGTAAGCAAGATGTCAGCCAGCTTGGTGCTTGTTTGTTGTATTAAGGTACTTCACTCCTTCTCCACAGACTGTAGGATTTTTATTCGGAAGGGTGAAGTACTTAGTTGCACTTTTTCACTTTTATCCTTTCAAATAGTCATTTGTTGCCGTAGAAACTGCTCTATTTATAAGGTTTGCGAACTACATTCTAAACATTTATAAAGCAAATATGATAAAACTAAATGAGGGATCCCTATCACGGATATCACGCTGCTAACTGGTGTTGCTCTCCATTTTTTTTAATCATCTATCTAACATCTCTTTTACAAAGTCCTCAATGCACCACCATGTTTGTTCTGATAGAGAGAATCTCTGACAGGGACCTTGATGATGTGGGTAAAAGTGCAACTGTGTGAGTATGAGAATACAGTAGCAGAGTAATTTGTAGAAAAGATTGAATTTTTTCCATTTTGATTTCATTGCATCCTATATTTTGTGTTAAAGTATGTTTTAATACACTTCAGTTATTCATTTGAATTGTTTCTGTTGTTAACGAGGATAGAATGACTCTTCAACCAACAACTTGATGGATTTATTGAACTTGGTGCAAAAACCTGAACTCTATTGATTTACAAAAAAATCCAAATGCTATAACCAACTAAAACATACACTGAGCCTCCTATTAGTATTTTGATTATAGGTTTTAAAGAAGCCACATACTGTTTGTTGTCATCTATGATGTCCTGACATTAATCTTTGACCAACCATTCTTATCATTCGTAAATTGGTTGCCTTCCTTGTTTGGGCCCAGCTTTTAACTCTACTTTGTACACTACCGTGAGATTTGAGGCTTGGGGGAATTTTACATGTCGATTCCAAGCACACAACTAAACACTGTTTAATGTGTTGAATATGAATAACAGCTGTTAATGAAAAGCGCCAGCAAAAGCAGGAACTTGTTAGTGGTGACAAACATTATTTTCCTTACAACTTTTGGGGTAAAAAACAATATTGGTGGATGTGAGTGCACATTAAGGCCTGGATGCATGTTTTTAAATGGAATAAAATCTTAAACTATTTTGAAGTTGAGAACCAAGCTCTGGGTTTAAAACTCCAAAAAGTTTGACTAAAATTATTTAAAGCTCAACAAATGTTCATGATCAGGGTTTGTACATTTTTAAAATGAATTATAAAAAGCATATAGTTGGCAGCATGAAGAATATTTAATACTTTCCTGAAAGTTAAGCCTAAAGGTGCCACAGCTGCATGCTTATCTTGAATTAAAATTAATTAATTGGTCTAAAATATGCAAAAAAGTTCCAATTACCCACTGAAATGCATATGTTTATTGTGCAATTAAATTCCTAGTCATAAGACTCATGCCTAAGTGATTTCTTTAACAGTCTGCTGATGGCTGCAGTCACTCCTGTTTCAGGGTCATTTTGCTCCATTTCTATTGTGTTTAAGCAGAGGTCCTGGAGATGTGACCCCTGATGAAGACGGTGTCCCCACAGTTCAAGATGCAGAGATTAACCTCCTCAGATCAGGGGAAGTCACGTGAGTATTATTGTTTGATCTGCTTCACATTTGTGGAGTTGGTTATTTTGGGGCGGTTAATTCTTTAATAAGTCCTAAAATGTGAACTCTTACAGAGCCACTGTCCCTCTGAGCATTGATGACATTTCACAGTTTGGTGACGGCTCCAGGGAGCTCTTTATCAAGTCCAGCTGCTATAGTACCATTGATGTAACTGTGACAGAATGTGGGACGAGTATTGGCTGGATGTTCTCCTCCGAGCCCAAGAGTATCTCCTTCAGTGTGGTTTACCGGGAATCCAGTGAAAGTGAGGTGGAACAGTCAAAGGTAGACCTGCTGCTTCATCTTAGTTTTTGTTAAATTACAGGAAGTGCTCCTTTTGCTTTCACCTGGGTCCTTAAAATGTGCAGCACAGATGTCTGGACTTTTGACATCTCTGTATTGTTGCGCCTTCACAGCTGTCTTTTTTTTTTTTTTTTTTAGCTCAGAAATAGCAACTGTCAAAGGCAGAGCTGTTACATAACCTTTTAAATGCTTTAAATGGCTAAATAAGACTGAAAGGTGGAAAATTCACAGCATTTTTTCAGAGGGGGAAGTTGTTTACAGAAACTGCTGACTGAAATTGAGAATACCTCCTACAGAGACTCAAGTAATTTTGTTTTCAGTCATACAGGCAGAGGTAAACAGCCTCAGAGTGATGGTATCAACAGTCTGCATAGAAATGTTAGTTTATTTTATCATATGTCATTTATTCCCAATATCTCACCTGTATGTAATATTTTCTCTGTAAGAGTTATATTTATCACAAGTTTGCAAGATTTGGTGATTGGTATGTTGAAGAGGCGGTTAGGAAGTGTTGTTTGACCCTCCCTTGAAAGTGATGTGTTCTGAACTGAGATAGTGATTGAGTTATGTTTCTGTTCTGCTCTCAGGTTCTGATTTCTCTGACTCGTTGCAATTCCCATAAGGAGACAGTTCAGGGACAACTGAAAGCACGACACCCAGGCCTCTACACACTCATCTTTGACAATTCCTTCTCCAGGTATGCAGCTGGTATCATCCCAAAACAGTAACTGGCTTAATAAGGAAATGGGAGCCTCAGTGGCATAAATGCTTCAATTGCACTTAATGCTTGTTAAGGTATTCTGAATAAATAAATAAATATATATATATATATATATATAATTTATTTTAATGGTGTTATCATATGATCATTTATTCAGTAATTAGGGAGAATATTGCGTTTTGAAGAGATAATCTGAGCCAAAGGGAAGTTTTAAGCCTTGAAAGTACACAGGCTGTCTGCCTCATGGACTTAAACTGGTAGTTGGTTCAACAGGATAGGAGCCTGATAACTAAAACATCTGCTTCCCATTCTGCTTTTAGAAATTCTAGGAACCACTAGTAAACCTTCAGACTGAGAGCGAAGTGCTCTGTTTGGAACATAAGGAACAATCATATCTCTGATACAAGATGGAGCTTTGCCATTTAAGGATTTATGTGGGGGGTGGGGGATTTTAAATTCTATTCTAGATTTAACAGAAATCCTATGAAGAGAAGCCAGGAAAGGAGAGATATGATCTCTTTTAATTTTCATCAGAATTCTGGCTGTAGCATTTTGGATCAGCTGAATACTTTTACCTACTTTTCCTGATAGCAAAGAATTACAATAGCCCAGCCTTGAAGTAACAAATGCATGGACTAGTTTCTAAGCATCAGTCCTGGATAGGTTATTTCTACTTTTTGTAAAATTTCATTGATGACAGAAGGAAATTCTAGAAACATCTTTGATATGAGATCTAAATGACAGATCCTGAACAAAAATTACTGCAAGATTTTTTACTTTAATATCCAAGATCAATTTAATCTGAAGACTATAACTTCTGTTTTGTCTGTTCAGGAGCAGAAAGTTAAGAGTCATCCAGGTTTTTATGTCTGCAAGACCTGCCTGTAATCTATGTAATGGGTTAGCTTCATCTGGATTTATAGACGGACATAGCTGAGTATCATCAACATAACAGTGGAAATTAAATTATTAATTATTAAATTATTAGACTCACCACCGTTAAGTAAAAATGGGACGAGCACGTAGGACGGCCTTACCTAAACGTATCACCAGAATGATTGACAATTGGGCAGACCATTTATTTTGATGATCCACCTGGAAAAAAAACATCTTCCACTATAACTTAAACATAAATTCAGAATTTAATCTTACAGTAATTTAGGAAATTACAGCCTTTATTTTGAGTATATTTATACAAATCTTTTTATGCTGTGAGGGATGGCAGTTAGTCCTTCCTATATTTGACAAGGTTGAACAAAAGAGGCTTCTGGGAGTTTAAGAATATCATGACTTTTTAAATATTTTTTTATTCCAGAACCCACTGGAACATTAGTTGCTAAAAATTCTCTTTAAAGCCGCATTCTCACAGTGCGACTGTCTTCCGTTGTGGATATTATCTTTCACAGAGAGGGATGATAAATGGCTGTGAGTTTGAGTGGTGATCTAACAGTGAGACAGATGCACCAACTGCAAGCAGTGTTTGATATATTTCAGGTGAAACCTTGCAGTATGTGGATGCAGCCAATGTCTCATTCCTTCCCTCTTTCTGCTGCTGTCACCTTTTTCTTTTCAAACCTGTCCCTCGTTTGACAACTCTCTTATTCATAAGTCCATTTACATCAATGTTTATATATGGATGGGCTGATGTCAGCTAGAAATGTGAGGCATGTGTGCTGCATCATCAGTCATGCATATTAGCGTCTTCCATCTTGCAGTGCGACAAGAATTATCACATTCTCATAGTTTGTGATATGCCAAAAAAATGTATTTATGTTTTTAGTGGTTGAATGTACCTACACTTTTTCCATCATGAGGCTGGAATACCGCAATAAAAACATCAACAACCTCTATTGACATTTAGACTTTAAATTCATTTGTTTTGTTCCTCAGAAACTAATTAAGAAACTGTGTTTTTAAACAGGTTTATCTCCAAGAAAGTGTTTTACCACTTGACCATGGAGAAGCCTGTAATCTACGATGGAAGTGATGGACCTTGAAGCTTTGTGGTACTGAGTGCTTGCCGTCTCTGCGACGGCTGGAGGGAAACTGACAAGATATCAATGCAGTGACTTTATTGGGTTTCTTTTTATATTTTAAACCAAGTATTTTCTTAAATTTTAATCACTTAATTGTTTTTCAGTTTAAGTTTTAAAGGTGTGGTTAGTAAGTGAAGGGGCAATATAAGGTTGAAGGAAATCTTTATACCTATTTTAGCATGTGTTGGTGTTCATTTTATCACTAAGTAACATATATAGTTTAGTTTGTTGTTGCTGTATTTTGTTTTCTGTTTAGTTTCAGTGGTCTTTTCATATTTCCAACACTAGAAATGTAAAGAACAGTCTAAAGAAAGGCACAGGTTTTAACACATTGTTTTGCAGTAAATGGGTGTTTTTGGAGGATTTATTAACCTTTTCAATCAAATTGCACAAAAAAAGCACATGTACTGTAATTGGTAGTTTGGATGTTATATTTGCACTCTATTATTGTAGGAAGAGAGGGATGGGAATTTGGAAGAATCAAAGTTTTTGCTTCATAAAAAAAAAACAAAAAAACACAAAGCTAGCAGTCTTTTAAGGATTTTTTTTTTTTTTTTTCGGAAATCTATGGTGTTTTCATGTCCTGGCTCCATTGATTAAAAAAAGATATCTTTTTCTGTGCAAAGCCATTTTAAACAGCTGTGTCTATCCAGTTTATAGGGCCTCATAAATGGCTGTACTTCCACAAGCTGATTTTATGGGTCATTAAAGTGACTTGCATAGGATCGTCAGCTAAAAAGCTCCTGTACCTCCTAAGTGCCTTTTTCATTCGCACTGCCAGAGATATGAGTTTTTAATGTTTTTAAATTGTGGCCCTTGATATTAATTACTGCCACTCTGTGAAAACTTCCATTTTGTATACACTTTATATATTTACCTCATCATCTCCTGTTTTTGTCAGGTTTTTTTTTCCATCCTAACAATTTAATGATTTGTTTTAGTAAGCCTCTAAAGAAAACAATCATTTGTATACACCAACCAAGTTTATAAAGGGCTGTTTTTTGTTTAACTGGTGCAAATTCTATGCAAAGCCTCAATATTTTTCTAAAGGGCTTTTTTTTAATTGTCACAAATGTTAAATGTCTTCAGATGTTTTCTTTCTTGTTAACTTGCACAGATGAATTTTTCTATTTTTTTGTGAGGCGGTTTTTAAAGAAATTAATGCTGCTTAAATCATTGTTACAGCCATTAAAAGATGGGAAAACAGCCATTAAAGAAATAAAATGTGCAAATGAATAGTGTCCTCTGCCTTTAATAATTAATTATGGTATCTCTGGGATGGAATGGGGATCCATCAGTTTTGATATGTAAATGTTTTTGCCAAATAATGAAGTAAAAATGCTATTTAAAAATATACTATTTTCAAGCAATTCCTACTGGTTTACCTTTTTTTTTTTTTCTAATGAACAGAAGAAGTTCATGGGTGTCACATAATTAGGATTTTATAAGATGCCTCTGAATAAAATTCAGTGCAGCCAAGTGCTTCCAGAGGCAACCCATTATGGCCATATATGGGCATACATGTAATATCGGGGGAAAAAAACTGTTCTTTAAAGGTTATAGAGCAAATTATATAAAAACCAAGGAACATAATGGAGCTTAGAGGAAAAGTGGGGAAAAGCTAAAAAAAGAATATAAAGCTATAACCCAAGCATTTAATCTTTCAGAGTTAAAGATTATAAAACTCCAAACCTTCAAATTTTAGGTGGCAGAACTTTTTACAAAAGGTGTACAGTACATCACTGCTGATCAGCACCTGTATGATCTTTACATTTTAAATGATTTGATGATCTAAGTGGCTTTAAAATTCATAACATCAGTAACATATTTTTATGTAAACATCTTTATCGTATTTGTCCACTTCAGCATCATGAAATGTCTGGTGGTAGCAGCTGTAAAAATTACATTTTTAACTTCATTTCTTTTACATTAGCTCCTTTAGTATTATAAATTGACTCCTATTTATTTAGTAGGTTTTGCCACTTTGCACACTTCAAAAAAAGTACTTTATGACATGATACTGCGTGTTACAAGACTGTAACTTCATCAAGGACCCCTTAAACCCCCATCATGGCGGCATCCAGTGCAGGTCCAGTAGATTCTGCAACAGATTTTTTCCTCGCTTCTATAAGACTGTTGAACTGTTGAAAGTAATCAAGACACTGTAAACATAATTGCACTACATGGATCTTTTTTTTTTTTCCAAATCCCTTTAAATAGAACTCAACTAAATCATTCTACAACATTTTGCACCATAATGGAAATGTTCATATCACTGTTGTAAGCCGCTCATTCACAGTCGAAAAGCTGTATGCATTGAAATTTCGTTTTATATTAACTCTGTGTATACAAAACGACAAAGTTTGTCTAAATCTAAGTTATGATATACCTTTTTTAGCTCTGGAGGGCTAAATGATAGGCCTCGAGTTTATTCTGATTAAAAAAAAGAAAACCCATCACATTCTTTTTAACCTTTTAAATTTTTTCATTAAAAATATGTGATCAATTAAATATAGTTAGAAGGAAACATTCAACAAAGATTAGGTTTATGATCAATCTTTCTGATTAATATTGCATTCTGATATTTTAATGTGGTGTAGCATACTGTCTGGTAATGTTATCAGTCACTTGGATCATAGTTATGCAAAGAAGTGTAGCTAGTAAGGGCACCCAACATGTTTGAAATAATTAATGGAACTAAATGCCAAGCGATGGGGAAGAAAACCACACTGAGGTAGAGGTTATCCTTCCAGCATTGCAGCTCCTGGTCATTCAACTAAATAGATGCAGTCCACAGACTGTGGGGAAAAAAAATAATTTGCAACTGAAGTTTATAAAGGTCAGTTATATATAGCCTACATGTTAGATTAGTGTGTGTGTAATAAACAATGTAATAAATGCCCCCTTCTAGCTCCCCTCCCTGTAATGGGAATAAAATGTGGTTCTGCTATTCACCCAAGGTGCTGAATACAAATGCATGCCACACTTTTCAGTTTTAAACGGAATAAACAGAAACAAAAAGTATCTAATTCATTCCACTTATACTCTATTTGAATGGTTAAAAAAAATTGAAATCTGTGTATAGAATGTATAGAACTTGGAAAGTTGTATTTTAATGGAAGTCTGGCGACACAACGTGGCTAAGTATGACATACTTCAAAATAAAATACTGCATTATGTTTATAGTGATTAACATATGATCTAATACTGGTTACATATCACTAAGGCAGAATGAAGGCGTTTTAAAGCTGGCAGGGTGTTAAATGAGTCATCCGTCTACATAACACCTCGAGCTTTGTGCTTGATGCTTTTATTTTGAAAATAACCCAAATTTCACCTGAAGGGAGCGCAGCTCAGCTCAGCTCAGCATCCCATCCTGCTGGAGCGGCTTTCAGGAAAGCGCAGTGACAGAGGGAGCCGACAGGATGCTCCATCTTCACACCACAGGGATCTTTCTTTTTCTGTGTCTCACTCAAACGGTGAGTTTAATTGCAGATTTGTTTATTTTTTTAATTTTTTTTTTTAAATAGACCAGACTATTTGAAAGCAACTTTGTGTTCTTCTAAGCTGTTATTCTTCTCTATATAGGATAAATAATGTCCTATTTACATGCAGGTTATGCTCTCATTCTAAGCATTCTAAGATAACGTGTCTCTGTCTTATTTGGTGCATACATATTACCCTTGTATAAGACATTACAAACATGGTTAAAATTCATTTACAGTTTTCCAAAACGTATTATAAAGATGAAACCTTCAAACAAGTTAAAAAATGAACATAAAATCAAAACCTCTCCTAGTTATTTTAACAGATGTGCATGCATTTTTTTAGACTTCTATATCCCTTTCCCCCCACTATTTAAAACAGGATTTATTTATAGAAAGTTTTACTTGTAGAATGAGTGGTTTCTTAAGCTGCAGCCTCTAAGCTTGATATAAAGCCAACAAAACTGGAAGGTTGATTGAGGAATGAACCATCTTAACAACAGAAACCTCTTTATGGGGGCTCAGGTTTTTTCTTTGTGCGCCAGAGCCATATGTTTTATGACATATGGTCAAGATGCAGGCTTGCATGAAAAATTTAATTAGGACATTTTGAATCAGGTGTTGTCATCTCATGCTTCAGCTGTGAACCACATCAGCTTTACTGGTTTGATTTTTTTTTTTTTTCTTGCCTAGACTCATTGTTCTGTTGAAGAAAACCCGTCATAATCCCAAAGTTTTTGAGTTCAGTTTTTCTTAGTGTGTATTTTGACTCCTTCTTTTAAGTCTTTTTTCTTAAGGTTATGTTCCAGTATGTGACATCATATTTACGTTAGGTATTCTTGAATTTCTACTGTGCTCTAGTTGGTCCTCCAGCCTCAAGCATAGTATGTATGTCCTGGTGATGATTCTCAGTCATCCAGGTCATAGTATTTCCAAAAAAAATAAAAGGAAATTAAAAACAATCCACTGGACTTTGTTTCCAATTTTGAAGATGTTTCGCTTCCCATCCAGGAAGCTTTGCCTCTATGCAATTAGCTTGATTCTGCCCACCTGTGATACATTATTTTGTATACATAGTGCTACTGTTTCTTTACTCTATTCTCTCCCATGTTTTTTACTCTCATAGTATATTCGTGTTTTTGTCTAAAAGTGAGTCCATCCTCTCTGGTTCACCATACCTGATGTAATGAAATTCTAACTAAAAGGCTTCTGCAGAACTTCACAATGACCTTACAGTAAAATGCAAGGTGAAGGTCAGCTGGGCTCATTTAGATTGATATAAGTTCTTAAACTGAATTAAGTTTTACAATTTTATTTTTGAAATATACTCAACAGCATAATCTTATCTTAATCTCTCTCTATAATTATATGGCATTGGAGGGAAATGGTGTGAATTGCTTAGATCAAAAAGGGAATCTGGACTTAATTCTATTTGCAATGTCTGTCTGTCTGTCTGTCTGTCTGTCTGTCTGTCTGTCTGTCTGTCTGTCTGTCTGTCTGTCTGTCTGTCTGATCTATCAAGACTGAAGGTATGAAGGTATAAATAGGTCATATAAGCAACTTCAGACTAAAAAAGACTGCAAGATGCTGAAAAGATGTCTCCACCCTGTTAAAATTAAACCATTAGACCTACAAAAGGGATTTTTTCCCCCCTCTGTTTATGTGGCATAGTCCTTGTCAAAGCTCTGATTTTGTTCCTTGAGATACTGGGTGGGTGTCTTGAAACAGACTGTAGATGCAGGGAACTCCTCAAACATCTGACAGCTGAAAGAGAAAAGTAGGGCAAACTTTGCTCAGGCTGAAGTTAAAGGCTGACTGGGGGCTTTAAGAAGCACCTCACTGAAGTCAGGTCAGCCAAAGGCTGTAACACTTTATTACGGTGTTATAACAGGGTGTCCTATGCTTTCCTCTGCTAGAAAACACATTTTTGTTAATATAAGCATTTTGATTATTAATAAAACAAAGTTGATTTCTGTTTTGTTTTTTTATTTTAAGTAATTTAGTGTTATAAATTGCTCTTTATTTTATGGAGAACATAATATGAAATGTTAATTTAACTTTTTCAAAAATGCTAATACAAAATTAAATTAAAACTCATATCTTCCAAGAGGAATACTATCCATTAGAAAGGTTATATCAGTTTTCACAGACATTTTTATGCTACAACTCTCAGACAAATTAATCCAATCTGAGAAAAATCCAATACTTTTTTCACTTATGTTTAGTTTATGGTGTAAACATGCAAGTTCTTGAAATCCCCTAATGTATTGAATACCAATAAAAGTTAATAGGTTCTAAAAATATAATTTGTGATTAAAACAATCTTTACCAGTTTTATTAAATTCCAACCAGCTTGCTTCGTCGATTTAGCTGTAGAAGAAGCTCTGCAGGAAACAAACTTGCACACGTTTCAAACACACAGTTTGTCATATCACATCCATATGCCCCCACAAAAGCTTTGTATTATTACAGCAGCACCTTACTAATTTCTTGGCTGAATAGAAATGTGAGAAACAAACAAACTGGTTGAAGTGATGATCTGCTTGGCAAAGAGATAATGAGAGCAGGGCACACGCTCATCACCAGGCACCTCTTCATTCTCTTTTACCGCTCAGAGGATTGCAGTGATCTGAAACACTTATTGCCAAAGAAGCAGAAATAAACAAAAGCAAAACCAGCACACTCTCTAATATCCCAGTTGTTTGGATATGATTAAAAGCGTTGCCCTTTGGCCAGTACCTGAGAGAAAAAAACAACAAAGGACAAAACAGTGGAGGGGATTATCGGTTTTAGCTGCGGGAGGGAAGAAAAACTTTATGACATCTGTCTTCATATGAGCTTAAGCTGGCACACTCCATGA